CCTTCCCCGAGCAGCCGGCAGCCCGCCTCCTAAGAGCCATGGTACTATAAACAGGCACTTAGTGGGTACGCTGACACTTTTTCTATACGTACCCAGTCTACCCTAGGACAAACAGGGAAGATAGCAGGCAGGCCTGCCGGCTTTGTAGGTAATTCATAGATTAACAGCTACATGAGGCCAAGTAGCACTCACTCAGGGGCTCAGGTAAGGAAGACAACCGACAGTCTGAGGCGCCTACTGAAATTCTCCATTGTCAGCGCTGTAGACAAGCTCCCTCCACACAGGCAGCAGTGCCCAAGGAGAGGGACCGGAGAGCATTTTCTTCACACTTATAAACCGAGGCATAGTGGAATGACATAGCTTTCCCATTTTTGTGTTAACATACTGCAGTACGTTATCAGAAACAACAGATGTTTCTTCTGGTAACACCTACAAAACACCTGTTTTGAAAGTATTTTTCAGCTTAGGCTCATAATAAGCACATGAAAGGACAAAGCATTTTAAAGATGTCTCAGAAAAAAATATAATCTTAGCAATGTAACATTTAGTTTGGCATTTTTCCACTTGTATTTAACACTTCCTTTCCAAGTCCCTCTTTACAATCACCTACTCTGTTTTTTCATGATGAAGTTTCGGCAGATACAAGTTTGCAGCCAAAAGTTTTCAAATACTTGTTAACTATCTGGTATTTACAATTTTTTTTTTATGGGCATGATGACTTTGGTTGTTCACTCCCCCCCTTTCCAGTAGCTCCCCTCTCCCCCAAGAAAACTGCAACACACTGGTGCACTTATTTAATGCTTTAGTCATTGAAGTAAATTAGTTGCAAGGGAAAATATTCAAATATAAATTTGGTAAAGTACATTCTCCTCACAGAGGACTAACCACGTGCCACAGACCTGTGTGCAAAAGAGAGCCTATGAACAATTTTTAGAGCATGGAAGCATACCCTAGGACAGAAGATTAATATCAGAAGTTTCAACCTAAAAAGATAAAATAAACACAAAATTAAGCTCTGGAAAACAGAAGCGCTAACTACAGTACTCTTGTCATAGTTGTACATCACTATCCCAAAGATATTACAAAAGCTCTACTAACATGACTAATCCTTAGCAGGTAGAAGTCAATATAGCTCTACTGAAGTCACTGGAATTTGTGACTGCGTGAGAACCAATGCATTCCTAAATGTGGCTCCAAAAAGGCTACTGCAAGTACTTGTCACAGAAGCATGACAGAATAATGGCAGGATTATTTAAATAAAGATGCACAAATACTGAATAATACAAGAATACAAAAAGCATGAATGTCACAGAATGTTAGTTCAACAGTACTGGTATTTCTAACCAACTGCAATTTTTAAAAAGTCTACCATTCAGTACATACTTGAAAAGTTACAGCAGAACAATAGCTTTATAAAGAGATTTGTACCAGTTTTTAAGTAGAAAATACAAGTGATATCTTCCAGTTTGTATTAGTCTTAGCAAATTTCATACAGCCTTTGGTTTCAAACCAATACAATGCAATTAACATTACAGTGCTTACTTAGTATTCATTAGGAGAGGATGCTGTACAATTGAGGGAGAACATGTGAAAAACAGGAGTACCAAAGTACTGTATCATAGAAAGTAAAGGCTGAAGCAAAAATACTCTTGGGTATATCCTGTACATCATGTAAACAGTCAGAATAGTAAACAGGCTAAAATGTCTTCCAAGCCTCTCAAACAGTTACAGTATAGAATACATATACATATATATAGCATATATAACATCATCTTTAGGAAATGTAGACCATTAAATCCTAATTCTGTGCTTAACTCATTTGTGATTCAGACAATACATTCATATATTAGCAGTACATCTCATTTATTATTTGGAGTTTGCTGGTTGCCATAGACAAGGACAGATAAATAATACTGAGCCTTGCTTTTAACTCTGATACTGTCAGTATATAAGTAACGCTCAACTGTTTCAAGAACCATCCTTCTTGTTACTAAAGCTGAGAATTTTCAGATTTATGTATAGCAAATCAAGCTAAAATTCTGTTCTTTGCAGAACAGTAGTTTTCCCAATTACTTTTAATTAATTGGGTAGAGCAAGTAGTTAACTTCTATTTTTAAAAGCAGATATGAAAATTATCAGTAAGCACACACACACACAAAATTACTACTTGTATATATAACATTCAACCTCTATATTTTTTTAGTTTTAGTAACACTTTGAAAAGAGACCAAATTTTTTTAATGTTGTAAGAAGCCATTTACTTGCTCACCTACAACAAAATAAGAAAACAAAAAAGTTTATTAATGTTACAATTTATCAAAGTGGCTTTTAATAGCATTGTGGTATATGCAAATCCACTGTAGCAAAATGCTATAGAGTAGTATTAGCATGAATTAGATATTAATGCAAGAAATTAAGCTTAAGATGTTTGTGACTGTTTTTGTAAGAAATATCTCAGTGCCTCATACTAAGAATTCCTTCCAGCACTAAACCTTCCTCACTTCTGGGTAAATCATGACTGACTATCTTTCTTCAAAGCTTCTAGTCTTTGTAGTAATGCATTTCCAAACACCTCTCGATACGCAGGGCTGAGAGAGTCCAATAAGGAGTAGACAGTTTCATGGTATGGAGTTTGCAATCTGTCATCAGTCTGATCAAAATCATAAGCTACTACCTGCAACAAAGAAATCACTGGTTAAACTTCTGCAGTTAGGATCACCTTGCAATGGGAAACAAGTATCACAATGTTTAACTTCGCCACTCAGGGTAGTACGGTAATGTGAGAACAAAAGATACTGGATTTAAATCTGTGCTTTCTACTATGGGGCTTAGCGCTAATACAATATTTAGACAGCTTCAAATACCTTTTGTCCGAAACTCAGAATATTGGTAAAATCTATCATTATGACCATTGAAAAGAAGTCCTATATCTATGTGTTTGCACAAAAAATACAAATGGTGCGAAAACGAGTTCTATATATGCTGTATTACTGATTTATGTGGGTACCTGAGAAACCCAAAGACTGACATGCTTGTAACAAATTCCTGCTTCAATCTTCATAATTTTGTCTCTCAAATAAATACCTGTTTTTCCATTAACTTCTCCTCTTGCTTTGTTGGAAATAACTAGTTAAAGTTCCACTTTCTAGCAGAAAACATGTAGAACAGGCTTTCATAAATGTACAAGAGGAATATGTATACTATTTTGGCATCACTGAAGTATTTTTCTAGGCACCTTTTGAACATGATCACTGTTCAAAACAAAAAGGCTTAAGAAATTATAAACAAATTAGTTTACCCTGAGTCCTGCTTCAGTGAGCTCCAGGCAGTATCTGTTCCTTTCCCTGGTCTCCACATTGATATATGCCACATCCTCTGCACAGGGAAGGGTTTTTGAGACAAACATGTTGCTGACAGCGAATAGAACATCATTCACAACAGCTTCAGCTTCTAGTCTCATATCTTTCACATCTGTTCCTTCAAAGTCTCTGTAATCAGAATCCTCTTCAAACCCTGTATTATTGGGCAACTCCATAGGATTGCAATCAGTCTCCATTCTGCATGTGGAAACACTTATTTTAGATTTATCATCACTACACTCAATATATATTAACACCATAAAACAAGAGTTATATATTTAACATTGTCCACAAAAAGGAAAACAAGAGACCCAGTGACTTCTGTAACTCATGAGATGACAGTCCAGAGAACACAAAACCAAGATGTTGAGAACAACTGCTTAGGAAGGTTACATTAGCACATAGAAGCAGACTCAGTATCACTGAAGTTGCCTCTTCTTATGCAAGTAACTCGCACTCTGTTGTATAAGCCTATGATTCAGCAGTAATTAATTCTGCACTTTGCTAATCCAGAATGCAGTGGGAAGACAAGTCATGCCTGGAAAAACTCAAATCAATAGCTGTAGAAAATAAAACCCTATTGTTGGTGAATTTAAGAGAGACCTAGAAAAGTCTGTGAACTAAATGGGTTATCAGAAACTATAAAGACATAAGCAGCAGCTTTTTGTTTACAGTCACTAAAGAATAATTCTCTCGTTAAGCTTTTATGCACAACTGTCAACACATTTCAGAGACATTCGCAGCAGGCCTTTGTAAGCAACGGTTACCAAAAAGGGACCGACTGCGGGGCTTACCACAGCGGCTCCGGCATTTGCCTCTCAGGTGCCCGTGCCACCACGGGGCCCCCGCTAACAACCCCGCAGGGAAGCCTGCCCAAGGCCGGCAGGGACAGCCCCTTGGGACCTGCCCCGACTGCTCTGGTAGCTGCGCGCTGGGGGCTGGCAATAACCGATCTGCGACACGCCAGACATTCACAGCATGACAGTCATCCCTTCCGGACAAATCCCACCCTGGACATGCAAACAAATTACAGAGAAACCGAAGGCGACAGGGGACCTG